AAAAATGAATTCGAAACCCATCTCACTCCATCGATATCTTAATAGCACACAAAAAAAAAAAAAAACATTTCTTGGACATTCATATTTTACTGGTTATTTTCTCTTCCTGATTGATGTTTGATCGTCATTATTTAAGATTAGGTTTACTGTGAGTGAGACAGTTATATGGATTTTTTCATGCTTATTGAACGACCGGCAGCAAAGCGTCTAGAAATTTGTTCTGGTTTCTTTGCAGTTCTTTTTCCAACAAGGAATTTTTGAATAGGGAGAAACGTTTGTGAATATGTTATTAGTCGCGATTCAAATAACCATCATTTGCATACATTTTGAAGTCTTGAAAATATATGGGCCATTTTTAAAGCTCTAGATGAATATCTAGAAGTTTGCTCTTCTTTTCGAAAATTTTCAAGACACTCCATGATCGCCTCCATCATATCACACTGCTTGCACTTGAATAAACCAAGACCCGAACAGCATAACACTTCTTTCACTCAAAGGATCATAAAAAAAAGATGGCCATTTGATAATATAGACTACGATTGCAGCCGTAGTCAACGTTTTACGATAAACTAATTTCGAGCTAATTATTGACACTCATTAGCTGAAAATATGAGAACTTTCAACGATTGTAAGGACATCAACTTGCGAGAAGAAGTGGTATAACTCTGGAAGGAAATTCATTCTATTCCATAGGCAAAGCCAAAGTTAAAGTCCTAAATTCCAAAACGGCAGCAGCTACAGACCTGATGCCACCAACAAATGCGGTGGTCATTCACGCGCGTATGTTCTGTTCACTAAGCTTTACTGTGTTGAGACTAATTGAACAAATCGACAGCATGATCACTCTGCATACAAGATGTCTTTGCTGGTATTTTCTCTCATTTGGTGGAGGAAAGCACTCGGTGGTAGATGGCGGTATGTATTAATGTACAGCAAAATGCAGAACAAGCGTAAACTTACGTTGTCTACTTAAACCAAACCAGTTTTCCGTTTGAAGGTCGGCCGCTCCGTCCGCGATGGTTATTCTGCTCTTTTATAGAATCGTAGCGAAAAGGTTGAGTGCGTTCAAACGGACACCCGTCTTGGTCAACGTGAGCACAACTCTGCCCCTGGGCGCCTATGGCCGTCTCAAAGTGGACAACACTGCGTATAGTGGACTGTGCGGCGTGGCCAGCGCTTTCCTGCCATCAGAATCCAGCACGCTCTTTCTGCAAAGCATTGTCTTTCGAAGCCATGTTGCTCTGTTGAGATGACGTGTACGCTTTCAGAGTAACTGTCGAGCTTCCTAGTCAGAAAGCGCGTTTTCTAAGCTGGAGAGCATTTAACAACAAGCACTTTTCTTTTTACTGTGCTGCACCACGATGACGGCGCGGTTGACTCGTTGTTTTTTTAGGATTCACAAATGGCTAGCCTCCCTTCAGAGTATTTAGTAAATATTTATTAAATTATTATGCTGTTCAGTACGGTGCCAGAACCAAGGCGCGTTTGAGATGCTTGTTGAGAACCATATCTGGACCGTCGGTATTCTGATTACGTAGGCTTCAAAGCTAGGCCATTAATTTCCCCACTCTGAAGTCTCTTGAAGGATCCTGTGCGGTATTGAGATCCCTTCCTTTTACGCTCCGGCGGGGCGTGCCACTGCGCGTGGGATCGTATCCATTGATGCTAACATTTCCAGGAAGTGATTTATAAGAAGCTAAAGGCTTAGCGGCCAAGCAGACGAGCTGCTGTGACACGTTAGTCACTTGCGTGGCTGACATCTTGTACCGGCAATTCAACAGGTCTGCAGCCGTTCAAAATAACGTTGCTTTTATAATTCATAAGTTTTTTAAGAGGTCGTCTCAAAACCGAAGCTAAAATGTAAAAATTGGGCAATGGCTTGGTAATGATCTTCAAGTCATTAAGTTAAGGCCATTTGGGTCCTCCGAACAAGGCTCCAAGTATAGCTGAACTTGCGTGATGAACAGATAGGCTGTACTGTAAACTGGAGAATTTCAACTAGATGCTGCGCATAGGTTTCGGCGCGCGTCATATCAGGGTGAATTTTGTTGATACACTCCAGGAGTCTGTCTACATCTAAGCGACATAAGTCGCGACGGAACTTGGCGTTTGACGATCCAAGGAGATGCGCGAAGGACAGTGATTTGGGGGGGTTTTATATCAGAAAATCTCAAACAATTAAGTCATATCAAAGTCTTCTACCACAAAAGAGAACTAGGACTACACATAGGGAGGCGAACTTGCCGTGCATGCCTCCTAGCTGATTCGCCACTGCTGTTAGAAGACCTTCGTCGTCACTTTTAGCTTCCAACAAGGGAAGTTTTTCAAGACGAACCTAAGGAGATTGGAGCAAAAATTCGAAGGAATCAATGGGGATTTCGTTGTCGCGGGTTCGGTAAGGAATGACAAATGGAAAAAACGAATCGGCATTGCCGTACATGGCTTCCGACGATACATGTACGCGTTTTATATGCAGAGGAGATTAGATATCATTACGGGCGTTGTTTGCTGGTTCTATTTCTAGCATACTTGACAAATCTCTCAAATTAGTTTTATAAACTGAACAAGACTCGTAGAACTTAAGAGACGATTACTATATTGAACGGTTTAGTATAGTACTGATATTGGCTTATGCCGATGAAAACTTTATAAAAGTTTTCGCCTGGAAAAGTGAACAAGTAAAATATGATTCATTAATTTCTAGGTTAATAATAATATTCTTATCAAATACGTAAAATTACACGGCCCATATGGATGCCTTAGCCGAGGACCAAATTAGGTACGTCTCTGAACGCTTCATTTTCGCGTTGGAAATGAAGTCACAATGCGAATTAACTAGGACACAAATATCTGCATCATATTAAGCATAAGGGAAAACGAATAAACATTTGACATGCTATCAAGCGACGGCTTTTCTCCATACGTAAAAATACGGAGCGGCCTACGAGCAGCTAATGTCAAGTCAGGTACTCATCTGTGTTGACATCTGACATTACGTGAGCAATTGTTGTTAACGAGAATTTTGTCGACCTCTGCCTGTTCCCATGCATGAGCATCAATAAGTTGAAGAAACAGATGATTACTCGGTTTCGTATCTCGTGTTCGATATGATCGCTTGAGGTAAATGGTCTTGCATCTATAGATAGCCAGACAGATTAGCTAATTGATACAACTGATAATATCTTTTCGCATATATAAATATAAGGTTTGCAAATTACTACCTTATTTTTCTCAGTATCTCAAACTGCACGATCTAGTTGCGGAAAAAAATTACTAGTTTATTAATAACTAACAAAAAAATAATCGTGTGCAGATCGTGCGTTTTTCATCATGTGCGTCGGGTTAGTAGTGAACTGCGTATATCAACAAGTTAATGATATTTTATATGCGGTACTTAACAAACGCGACGCTTACCGACTGTTTTTCCCTAACCCTAGTAAATCTGTTCTTAGACTGGCCGTGACACACTAATAGAAGCACATCTGCTTTTGCGTCAAGTATTTGAACAACTTGAAACTGAACAACCTTTCTCTTATTAGAATACATACAACTTCGCTTTAAAATGCGCTAAACGATGTTTTCAACTGTAATTGCATTAAGCAGATTTGGTTTTCTGTGCATTTTGATGACGACTATTTGATCTTAATGTGGAAAAATCGACAGATGCAGGTTTCAATTATTAGTTCTAGGTAGGGGATGGTACGACGGGAAAACTGTGGTCGAGAGAGCCTGTCTGAGGAAACTCACGTTCATGTTACGTTATAAAAAAAAAAAAAAAAAAGGTAAAAAAACAAGGCCCCGCGAAGCTGTGTATCAGCTGCTTCGGACTACATTGTATCAAGTCAATGTGTTTCAACAACTGAGTCGCTTTTCACTTCTTTGTTAAACCCGCGGTTGACTCTCAACCGTATACGGAATTTTAAATCGCCCTGAATGTGGACCGCAAGATATTACTTCAGGGATCATCGGAAAGGGAGCCCATGGCATTGCCGGATTCACTTCAGTACCCCATCGAATTCTGCGAAGGACAGGCTTGTTGTGAAATATTACCACCAATGTAACGTGGTATACGCCATGTTTTTTTTTTCTATCGGTTGTCGGCTATCTTGTCTGAGAGTCTTGCTAGACTTATTTTGGGTTTTTACCAACAGACGGCATCATAATAATATATCATAGTAACCATCAGGGTCAAGATATTACTCCTCCGGAAACGAAAGGTCTGAAAATTAGGCCTATACTAAAAAGATCCTTATGGACTTTTGCGTTGTTGAACTTCGTTGCCATTACGGACCGAGCCGTCGTGGCTCTTTAGTCACTCTAAAGCTGATAAAATTAGTCTTTACAAGTGATCTCGATACTAATTTAAATAATTACAATTTTATAGTGGGTGTATTTTTTGTGTTTTACATTCAGTACTTAAGCCAGTATAACTTTGATGTAAAGACATTTTAAATCATCATTTTACATCACCGAAAATCTGTCCGCTTGTTTAACTCACAGATTATATTTCCGCTAGATATTTCTCTTCTTATTTTTCTTACACCGTAGTCAGCCTACACCATTATTAAACTGAAATACGATGATTTCAGGCGCTTCGTTTCCGAGGGTGCCTTACAATGCGAGGTTAACCTACATAAAGCAAGATGCCCATTACGAAGGCTGCGTTTCCTTATTGTATATTTAACGACGGTTTTTACAGTAAAAATTACCCTCTCTCCAACCAAACTAGATTTTACTTTTGAACAGCCGGCCGTACCTTAATTTAAGTTTTCGTTAACATTTTTACATTTGTTGTTTTTTTTACATTCGCTTTCTCTCCCTACATATATATATATATATATATATAAACTGCGGTCACCGGTCGTCGGCCGATGGCCGGAGCTTCTACATCGGTGCTCAATACGGCCCTTTGGGTAAGCAACGGAGGAGGGCAATGAAACGTGAGGTGAGCGGCATGAACGCCGGATTTAAGACCGGTGACAGCGGGCAGTCAGCAAAAGCCAGCAAAGTGCTGACTCCGGTCTAAGCCAACGGGCTGTTCAGGCAGTGAGCCCGTTTAAGGCTTTGGAGTTACTTAACGTACTGAAAGGTTGTTCTTTATGTTGCTACTGTATCGAGTGTATTAACGTCAGATTAGGGTTCGTGTGAGGTGCGCGGAAAACAGAAAGTCTCACCATGGCCAGCGACGCGGTTCTGACGCCTGTAAGCGTCGCCAGGGACGATATCTACTTTTTGAACCTACGCATCGACCCACGTGTGAAGGATTACATGTTTGTTGGCAATGCATGGTTCCCTATAATTGTGTGTGGTTCGTACCTTTGGTTTGTGTACAAAGGAGGTCCTGCTTTCATGCAGAACCGTAAACCATACGATCTCCGTCGGGTTATCCAAATCCATAATCTATTTATGGTAGTGACCAACATATTTTTCTTTTACAAGTTTATCACAAATTCATACTTGGCCAATTACAGCCTGCTCTGTCAAGGCATGACCTATGCCACGGACCACAACTCGATGGAAATCGTCCACTATGGCTACTGGTATCTGATGCTTCGCATACTGGACTTTTTGGATACGGTCTTCTTTGTGCTCCGGAAGAAGTTTGATCATGTTTCCTTTCATCACGTATCCCATCACTTCTGCTGTGTGTTCTCCGGTCACCTGTGGGTAACACTTGGCATGGACGGACATACGTTGGCTGGTCTTTGCCTCAACTCGTGCATTCACATATTCATGTACTTCTACTATTTTCTGGCTTCTTTGGGACCTAAGATCGAAAAATACCTCTGGTGGAAAAAGTACCTTACGAAAGCTCAAATCTACCAGCATATCTTCCTCGTTCTCCACGGACTGATTCCAGTTTTCTACGACTGCGGATACCCCAAGTTTTTCATCTATCTCGCCGTGCCTCAAGGCTTATTAGGACTAGTTCTATTCCTTAATTTTTACGTAGCTTCTTACTCGAGAAAGCGTCAGCATGCTAACGCTACTAGTGCAGCAAAAGCGAACGGACATACCGAGACCGAAGACTGTCAACGAATGGAACAAAGGGTGATGGAGAAGGAAATCGGTTTGAAGAAAGATAGATAGGATAATCGCATGAACGTTTGCCGAAGTGGCAAGTTCGAATTGAACTTTTATTTTAGTCTGATTGCAACGATATCGTGGCCGCATGTCGCCACTTTGATGCAACGCTCTGCCCATTTTTTGGCTCGATCGATACCGACCTCTGTTGCGTTCAGCATATATTACTTGCTTATCTAGTTCAAGCGGACGACAGACAGTCTCAAAATAGAACTACCGTGAGTGTCCAATGCTGTCTATAATGTTGAGATCAAACAATTGTGATGTAGATAAAAAGAATAAAGATATATTATTTAAATCCTATAAATTCATGCTGAAACCGCTTGATTTTCTGCAAACTATGCCCAAACCAAGGTCTGCATACCTAAGCGCCTTGTCGCTGACATCTCGCCTCCAATACTGGATTTGGCTTTTTCAGCAAAGGAACAACTTGATCATATCCTTCAGATAGTAGGTTTACTTCATATAGAAAAAGTCAGATTAGCTTAACACCTCCGAATCGTTATTTTGTTTTTCGTCAAAAGCGCTACGCACCAGGATAGCTTCTGCCGCTACTATTGCTACGGAGACTACCAGCACTACACTGTTGTAGGCAATTTTCTTGTTAGATCTGTACCTCTAAACGAACCGAGGTCAGATACTGTGTACGTATCAGTCAAGTCAATCAGTGAGTTTATTAGTCAGGTACAACGTGTAATGATAGATCTGGCAAGGAGATGAGATGCAAAGCAGAGATCTAATGAAAAAATCGTATCAACTCAAGAAAACCCATTTTTCCTGCTGGGCGCCAGCTTTCACAAGGGCGTCATCGTGGGTCGCGCATCATACAGCATCAGTTTTGACGTATTAGCAATCGCATTCAACCCTCTACATGTAAGCACGACATTACCGTGCTGTGTGACAGCTAACAGGGTGGACAGTCATTGTTATGGCCATGTCACGAAGGTTTTCGGAACAATTTCTTGTGTAACTACACCCTTCGGAAATATCCGGCAGCCAATACCATGACCGCCCGTATATGCTCGTGGCTACCGTTGGCTATTGTGGACAAAATAAAATGCCGCGGATCTACAAGTGGATCGAAAGATCGAGCTAGTTGGGATAGTAAACAACTGAACAATTGAAAGAGATTTGCCCTTCTCTGTTTAGCAACGTACGATTCTTTGATTGTTCCTGCTTTTCAGCATTAGCATCAAGGCAGTCATGACCAGAGGATGGGGTATAGCCAAAAATTAGCCACCGAAAACAGCATAACTTGTTTGTACGCTATTTAATAGCAAGGTCGTGCTAAGCATCAGCTTTAAACGTTAGATGTTCCTGTTTGTTCCCATGTGTCCATTATTTAATCAATATGGCTGATAAATTTTACGTGATTGAAAAACTTGAGTGTGTTCAATTGATAGATATCAAGTGATTCATAGAAACGGATGTAATCATTGTATTTGCAAATTTCAAATCAAGCTTGCATCAAATGTTCTGAGCTGACGTAGCCGAAACATTGCTCTTTATCACTCATAACGGTTGAGAAGCGGTGACGTAAGCGGGCGCTACCATAAAATGAGATAGTCTACATATGCGCATAGTTTATCCTATCGCAGGATCTAAAAGTAAGCGATTCTTATAAACCTACTACAAGTACGCGCTTATGTATATATATATATATATATGTCTTATATCATATGTCTGAAGAGAATAGTCATGGATCAACAAAAGCACAATTTGTCCATGCTAGACTGATTTCAGATGAGGACCTTGCATCTTCATCGTGTTTTTACAAAGGCATTGTCTTGTTTTTCTGGCAATATCATTTTGTATATATTCGGATGTTGATTGTTGTAAATCTTCTTTGAAAGCTGTAAGCATGATAATCATCACATATCGTTGAGACAACGGTAGCTATACACATAAAAAGCAAAATTTTAAACACAGTAGTTTTACAAAGCTTACAAAAGGACAGATGAGCCTTTGCATATTTTCGAGCAAACGCACGCCATCAAAAATGTTGTAAAATAGCAATAATAGACCTTCTGGACAAGTAAGCAGGCACAAGATCGACGTCGACTGTCGTGTGCTCCGTGGGAAGCAGACCACAGACTCTGAGCTCACGATTCTCGTATGCTGCTCTATAACACCCCAATCAACAGTAAAACAAAATCAAGAAAAAGCTCATTTTAGAAAGAAAAAGCGTTTATACACCTGTTGTGGTCATCATAGCATGTAGAACTTTACCGCTAAGCGCCAACGGAAGATAAACAACAATGCCGGGGGTAGAATTTATTACGTCACGTACCCAATAAGAGCAGACAGCGATCCTTAGTTCCGCCTGGTAAACTGTAGCAATCATCATTTTCATATTTTGACCATTTACAGTGTGCTTATTTGCCGTGCGGCTTCAAGTGGAGTATCTAGATAATAAGGGGCTAATAAAATCGGTCACGGTTATATAGTTTCATATATCGTTATATGGACAATTCACCCTTCATAATAATCAGCAGCTTTAAAAGTTACCACAACCAATAAAAAGCAATGGTAACAGCATGGTATTTGGCTGGCCAAATGTCCGTCCCTTCTTGTCTGCCTCTAAAAGCATGTATTGCGTTTCTAAGCTTCGTACCGGATCGGATTGTAATTATCCCATCGTATCGTAAGGGTAACTTTCGAAATGCCTGTAGAGTACGAGGCTAGTTAGTGTAAATGTATCACATAAATGCCCAAAGCAGCATCTCTTTTGCTTTTGTGTATTAATTTTTTTAAAATTTGTTCTATTCAACGTGCCGAGCGTCGACCGTAATGTTACCATGAAGCTTAGCGAATTTACAGGTGTGGAATCATTACGCCTAAAGGTGCTGCTCTGTGAAACAGAATATATATATATATATATATATACATTTGATGTCGTATAAAAAATGGAGGTGTGGCTGAAAGTTTCATGTGATACACATATATATTCAATATAATCGAAGAAGTTTCATTCTTGCCAACTATGCTTAACATTAAATAAATTTAATAATAAAATAAATATTAGGTTAAATAAATTTAATTAATGGACGTCTTCCAGTGATCATTTAGTATCGTTCATGTAATTTCGTCTATACAGCTCGTAATTACGGCAGCTTTGATAGCTACGGATCATTGCTTGCTAGTTCTTCATTTGCCAAAGCACAGGATGTGGCGCAACATGGCTAAGACGCCATACGACGGCATACATTGCACTACCATCGGTAAATAATCTGTCCGATCTTAAATTTAAAGTTCACACGCCCATACCGTTGTAATTTTTTTAAGCGCAAATAGATATATATATATATATATAGCATAACTTTTCGAGGTCTGTGGACCCTATAGGCTACTGGTCGCAATACAACAGTCACCATCTAACCCTCTATATAAATGATAAACTGACAGCTCAAATGTATTTGTGCATAGCTGCCAGCGTTCAAGGAAGGGAGCACGTCCGCAGTGCAGTCATGCATTTTTTTTAAATGTAACAGAGGTTATTAACGAGCACATTCTATTACGCTGCTAGTTGATCACACCACCTTTTATCACTTTGGCTAACCGGAGCAGCATCCATATGATAGTAAATATAATAATAACAACACGACAATATATATAATACTAGTAAACAAGAATACCTCAGCAACTAGAACCACTCTAAGCAAACAGGCTGGTGGCAACTGGAAGCTTACCGATAGGCCGCACCGCGACCAGACTTAGATTTCATTTTCCTTTGATCCGGCTCATTCGGCGTAACTGCCGCAATCGGGACACCGTCATACGTGCTTCGGCATAAATAAGGGTAGCTGCTGTTTAATGAGGAATGAATTGTCACGAACAGATAGCTACTACAATCGGACCACTATGACTGGAGACTTGCCCACGAATCCGTTGCGAAAAAAACGGTGACGAAAATAGTACTGCGAATAGCGTTCGTCGACAGAGCAATACTCATCGAGACCGCAGCAACTTCAACGGTTGATTGCGAAACCCAAAACATGCTTCTACGGGGTCGATCCGCCGAAAGCCCGGTCGAAAGCGGGCAAAAGGAGAACGAACTACTCGTCGCATTTATAATAATAACGGTGATTGTGGTACTGCGCATGATGCTGCCATCATGTGATATACTGGGTCAACAACATGCCCTTCACTGCGGGCAATGCACCATAACCACTTCTCTCTGTCTGTACTCCTTGCCGTCTATTAATCTCCTTTTCCTATATATATATATATATATATATATATATATATATATAAATGTGATGTTTGTTTACGGAAGAACAGACAGGGCTGCAGAAATATTTTGCCGTACGGTCTACGCTGTCTTGGTTTGTTCTTATTAACCCAGCAGTTAGATTATGGCCGAATACTTTACAACATTGTCGATCCAGTCGGTTGCTATTATGTATAGATGCAGGCGACGACACTGTAATAATTCAGTATATAACATAATACAACTAGGCTTACCGCGGAAGTCGCTTAATACCCATGAATGTTTTTGGATATTGTTTTTATTTTTTGATAGGAACATTGTTACCGCTGAAAGAATCGGGGTAACTATGCATAGAAGTAACGTTCGAAGAGATCCTATATTGTACTATAGGCGTTGCGCGATAATATGATATTGATAGTAATTCGATGCAGAAATTGTTTTTTTTACACACTCACGCAAGAGCAATAGGATTTGGCTCCCGGCAGAGCTCGATAATCGTCGTTCAATTTTGCGAACGGTTAGAGGTTTGGTTTTATTGGCATTTTGCGCGTTTGCATTTGCAGTTATTGCCTGAAACATATGGACTAATTAATGTTCAGCTCTATATGGCTATCAATGTCGATGAGAAGCGTCTGTGATGACATAGATATCAATGAATTAAATTTCATTTTGCACAGTAGTTAAAAACTTCATATATGCGGGTCAACAACACAACATCCTAGTATCAAAAAGAGAATCTAACACCATTTAAAAACACTTTGCGTTATACGACACATTTTTCAAACATCCGGAAGATGATATCTGGGGCTAATGAGCGGCATAATATCTGTCACAATCTTCTTGCGTGCGTCGTATCATCGGTCACGTAAAAAGCTGCCTTTCTGCAGAGTCTGTAGTAGGAGTCATGCACGGCAAAACAAGTGACGTCTGATGACAAGTAATGTCTGTTTAGCCAGTTCGTCCCTTTTCACCGATTATTTTACACCACACCCCAAACAACAAAATCCTAATCAATCTTCGGGAATCTTCGCTTCCAGCTTTTAAACTTAGTCTGGAAGACTTCCATTGCTGAGTGTCCAAAGCGACGACATAGGTCCCCTGGTAGCAGTAATGAATCGGCTAGGAGAAACACAAGGCGCTTTCGGATCACAATGTGCAAGATGAGTGCCCCTCTGAGGAGGGAGGCTTTGAGGCGATTTAGTTATTTGAGACTCTCTAGTTCAAGATCTTCCTAAATGACGCATATCCCGTACGTTGCAATCGAAGGTACCCGGCGACCGAACAAGCTGAAAGCGTTTACGAGGGAAAAGCTGTGATTCAATTGCTCACGTAACCAACATTGCCTTTCTGCCTCTTTCGGTGACGTACGCAGTGAAACTTTTGCCGTTCGCGGGGAAGAGAAGCCCCAAGTGCGGAAAACGGTTTACATACACCGGAATATAAGGTGTCAGTGGCCAATGTCCTGCCTCCCTTTTTAAGTTTTATCGTCTCCGTCTTGGTCAGGTTTACGATCAGTCACATGAGTATCGCGTGGAGGCGAGCTAAGGTTTGCTACATCTAGAATCCGTTTGTATATCACCCGTATATGGTAGGAACTTGTACACCACTAAGTCGTGTGCATCAAGATGACTCTAGCTGATTTTCTCGGCCCTCTTAATTGATTAGAAAGGCCTGTCCACAGAGAATAAGTGCGTTTGTCTCTTTAAGTCAGGCCAATTGCCTGTGCTGGGTCATTCTGTCATCGATGGTTATTCTGCTTTCCTGTGTAATTACAGTATAAAGGTTGAGTACATTAATAGGGACACCTGTTTAGGCCAGTGCGAGCTGCGGTGATTCAAGGTGTCGTGTGTTGAAGCCAATCCTCGAGCCGTCAACGCTGTCAGAAGCTTCTTCACGAAGTTCTGACCGTTGAAGCGGACGGGACCCGTTGGCTGTAGTTCGACTGTTCGTCTTACAATCGGCGGTTGTTTAACGGTGGCTTGGCTTGACGATAATTCCATCTTTCGAAGCTGATTTGGCTGTTAAAACGTTCGGTTCTGAGATCAGCTGAGATAGTTTGGTTTGCTATTAAAGTCCCCTCATGCCCCCTGTTATCATCGATGGTCGTTGATCTTCAGATTCCTAGCCTCTCGGTTTTCAGGATTCGCACGTCTAAAAGAATTTTATTTTCCTGTCAATGTTGAGAGCAATCTTTGGCACTAGCGGCGGCCAAGAGGCACAGATATCGTTTGGGAAAGTTCATGAGTGTGCGAGAATTAGTACGGCGGCATGAGAACGAAGAGGAGAATCTATGTATGTTCGTTTATATTTTAAAATAGTTGTCTAACTATAAACAGCTGTACTGAGTTAAAAAAATCCGGTTTAAAATAGATGAATTATACTTGATATCTTACGTTCAGGATTAAATTGTTCAAAACAATTCCATTACGGCCGGAAATATAGAAATATTTAGCGAGACTTAAAGTAATAATCAAGTAGGCTTCTGCATCGACGAGTACTAGGAAGAGCTATAACGTACAATGCTTTTGATACAATCGAGTATTTTGCTAGAATTTCAAACTAGAATTTACTATAATAGTTACTTAACACCGATGGGAAAAGTAAGTCATATATTTTAAAGTATCAAGCATTCGCAACTGGTAAAAACTAGTCTTTATCTGTCATTCGTCTTTTTTTGGTGACAGGATTATTTGGCAAGCTCTTGTTTAATAAGACATTTTGATGCTCTTTTATAGTAACAACTATACGACGTTAGCTGGTAGCTGGTGGTGTCGGGCGTCTAACAAACTTTGGCGCGTAAGTTCCGTCCTATTCAAGGCTGCAATCAACAATTACTTTGCTCAGGTAGAGAAACGAGTTCTAAAAAAGCTCTTGCACAGTCTCGGCCAAGGTTCAAAATGTTATCACATAAAATAGCATTAATTTTAAATAAGATGGCCTATCACAGAACCTGCCGTCGAAGCGATAATAGGCGCCTCAGTTAGGTAAAATGTACCCCACACAAAAGAATTGCTGGTCGTTGTCATTTTACTGAATTACTTCTACCCAGAACTGAGCCCATTACTGCCATGTAAGAAAAGTCATAACGTCTTAGCTACTTCATCTACTCTGTTACGTACCTTCCGAATAGTTTAACTTCGGCCTAGACACTTGATTTGCCACAGCTTCTCTTGCTGCCTGTCGTATAAGGTTTTCACCTATCAAAAATTATAGTGGCCTGCGGTGAGCAGTTGCGTGTCAGAGTTCTAGCTTTCCCAGATAGCAATAATCCATTTCAGGCACTAGTCTAAGCCAACAATAGGCACATACATCTTGCCCTGCGAAGTTTCTTATTGTTACAGCAGTCCCCTTAATTCGTCCGTCAATTCTCGTCTTCACAGACGAGATCAGTCACAGATCATCATCGTCATGATTGCACAGTGTGTGAAGCTACAGCTGGCTTTCCCTTCCTACAAATATTTTCCCAAAAGGAAAAAAGTAAAAGCAAAAAAACACGTGTTCATTGTTTGACGAAACCGTCCAGCGCATCGCTACTAACCATAGGACGGTCAATGGTGCGACCATCGATCAAGTACAGATTGTCGTCTAGCTACCCTTTTCGGCGACTGGTAAAAAATCTAAGGACAAACGAATGAAAAAAAAAAACGAGAAAAGTACGTGCGCAACAAGAATGCAGCATTTACGGGGGCCATGGCCGTAGCGATAACAGAGGATACTGGTCTGGCTATCTACCCAGATTCAACAGATTAATCACAAATGACTCGCGGCAAATATTAAATAACGTATCATACAAATTTACGGAAGTCACGATAAAGAGAATTAAGCGCTGCTTGTAGTAGTACCGATCGGATATTCTATGTCTGCGTATGTATTTATCTATCTTGGATCTAACTTGGAGCTAGTGGTATTCTTTTAGATTTTTAGCTACCCGTTCCTTGAAGAATTTCGACGTCAGAATAACCATAAGCAGGCTATCTGTTTAGTAACTAAGAACAGGCAGAACCCAGCAGTTATAAGCGAGTGCGTATAAGTCGTTGGTAGTAGGCTGGAAATTTTCGCACAGCTTTACTATCCATATAGGGATTTGTATATGCGCTCGCGCTGGTCAAAAATTATGCGGAAGCAATATCAATAACAGGTAGACACAGTAGAACATGAAAATCCTATGCCTTCGTTGCGCTACTAAATGTAATAAGATAAAGATCATCGATATAAGCTGTTTATAAATCAGCTGATCGATAGCTGCGATAATTGGGACATCTGTGCAAACTGTGGACATGGTTGATCGATATTGGCTGTCTATATTACAATTGTTTCAAATTATGTTTGCATACTGGTGTGATGCAGGGCGTTAATGTCAAGATAAAATATATGATTATATAGACTGTGTAATTAACAAGTGTCAATGGAAAAGCTTAAGGCAGCAACGTCTGGTCGCTTTCAATCAGAGGCTTGCAAAGCGCGCGCATATTTGAAACACTGCATAGGAAAAAGGGAATTTACGATACAAAAGAATCTCATTTATATTCGAATTCGCGATACTGTTATTGGCAACATAAACGGCTTACAGGTACTGAATAGCACTCACAATAGCTTTTTTTTTTTTTTTTTTTTTGTTAATGCTTCTATTGTGACTTGTTTACCATAACAGTTTTCAGGCATTATGCAATCACTGTTCATCATAATGCTTATTTCGTAACCAGTGTAATACTCCATTGGATTCAAAGTTGTAAGAATACCCTGTCATATAGCGATTTCGTAAATTAAAGTCGCTCAGCAGCTTTCTCATGAAAAGATGTTTTTAGTAAACAACGACTCAGCCAATAGTTTACTCGGCCGAATGGCCAGCGAAAGCTTCAATGCCAGTAAAAATTACGCAAGCGGGATAATGCTTAACAAATTCGGTAGTCATCTCTGCATCTTCATACCAAAATATTCAAATGGCCGTGTGAAACAGGCGAGTTCAACTTACAACCAAAGTATAAATGTTCTAAATGTTTCATCAATGTGACAAACCAAAATAGTATATTTGTTTTTTTTTTTCTTTTTTTTTTTAAATGTCATCAAACATATTCATATCGGAACACATATAAATTTGATTTTGTCGTACATGGAGAAAACTTTCGTATGATCGAAAATAATGTTTTGTAGAAGAAGGCTGAGCGTCTCACGGCCAACATCTACATAGCTCGGCTTCAGCACAGTCTGTGTCATACGATTACGTCATTTTGATATCTACCAATATCGAAATCACATATCCAAGAATAGAGTAAATATAACGAAATGTATAATAAAAAGTAGATCGGTTTTTGACCCAGCTTCAAGTGCCAAATCGTAGCCCATAAGTGTAACAATATAGATACTTGTATAAACCGACCTTGACGTTACACAATGTCTCATTGGATATGATACTATATTTTATGGTTCCTATATTGGACAGACACCTGCTTCAGTTTCAACGACGATACACAATTATGTGTTTCTTTTTTAAAAAAAATTTACATAAGGGTACCAATCAAAGAGACGTGTATCTAACTCTCTGGAGACACATAAAGCCGCTACATCGAAAAGTGTTTGAAATATAAGTAAATCATCTTAACTACTACAATTAGATATTATAACTATTATATATTAGATCATTTTTTTAAGTGGCATAATAGAATTTTTACTTTGCATTTCTCATAATAAATCAAATTAATAACTGGATATATTAAAAATGCATTCAGTTGCTGATGGACTTTTCAATGTTTCCTTGTGGTCATGTTTGATGTTAAGTTATCTATACTGTAATAGTAAAATCCTTTTAGCGGTTACATTTATCAGAGGATAACAAACTTGACGCTGCTTCAATATAACTATCATGTTGTTTTAAACGCAAACTGTTATACGTTTAAAGACATAGAAGCCGGATTAAAACACCAGTTTTACTGTTGTTATTTTTTTTTTTTTTAGGAAATAACGCTACTTTTCGAGTGCTCATTAAGTGAGACTTAGCAGTTTTGTGTTCGTACACTTGAAATCTAGTACCCACAGTACTATAGGTAATATCGTGTTTTTACGGGGCTCGTGGCTTTTCGTGCTTGCCTACAGTATTACCAGCAGACATTGCAGACCCCGTCGTAAATCTAGATTGGATTTGCATTGTGAGTACTCCGCCCACAGCATTAGGCCCATCCAGTCTCATGATAACAACCTGCGAAAAAAGTGTAGGAAAAGAAAAACCTGACATTAAAATACGTGTTGACTCGCATTGGCTTGCTTTAACGTAGTAAGAGCTGGACTGATCCCCAACTGGACGAATCCCAACACTTTAGGTTGCTGCATCGCAACTTGAAGCGATCAGCGAAGACAGATTGTTACGTAGGTCTCATCTTTAGGCATTCTTCATCCCCCGTTTTGAATAAAAAAACGCGCGCAAATAGTCAAATGGAAAAACTGAGTGTTTATTTTACTCAATCAGTCCCTTTTAGAGCAACAATCACTGAATAAGTATATATATATATATATATACTATATATCTATATGCACCGTTTAATGTCCATGCAGTGTGTATTAGTCTGAAATTATGTAACATTTCTAGCTGATCTAACTACCTGATCTAACTAGCTGATCTAGCATACATCATATACTTAAAACGTCTATCCTTTTTTTCGATAGACCTTTTCTTCTGTGCCGTTATGTTTAGCGAGCGATATGTTTTCCACATGTCATAGAATTACCTCAGAGACCGAGAGACGCACCATGTGGTTATTTCTCGGTTAAAAAAAATCACCCAGTTTTGTTGTTCACGAGTGGCGTGCACTATCTAGGGGCAATTTAGAGGCGCATTAAGCTGACAACATAATCGCTTGCAACGCAATTGAATACTTTTACCGTTCCTTTAGGTTTTCTCGTCTCTTAGCCAGGTCAAAATCGAGTAAACGGGATTACCAATAATCGATGCCAGAATCTGTCGATTATGTGAAAGTAAAGTATTCAACAGCGAAAACAATCACCTTTACCGCATTGCAGTTTTAATGAAGCATAGAGAATTAATAGCTTGAAGCGTACTACTGAAGTCAAGTTACAAGCCCATTATTATCCGAAGTTAACTTACATGGTCTGCATGCAGATAGAAGTAGTACTATAATGTTGTGACAAACTATCCCTATGCCCTTTTCTTATATCAAACATAATAGTCTATTTATTTGTTTTTCTTTATTACTTTAGGAAATATTTGGCACTTAAGAAAAATATAGAGTAGAATCTCATATTGTAACGGAGAGTGCAAGCATTTCCAAAACTAACACAAGGCATTTTCGACATTCGTTCGACAATAGTTAACGTTCATTTTAATACCACATGCCTTCCAGCCCCTGTTGCCCACCAATTACAGCTCAACGGTAGAGCATTTTATCAAAAGGTCATACGAATACGTGCCGTCAACAGTTTGGCTACTCTGGGTTTTCCGTGAGTCTCGGGAACCTTTGTTATCGTGTGGAGAAGAAGCAAAATAACCGGGTAAACCAAATGGGAACGAACGGTGTGGTTCGCCTCAGCAACGAGAGCGTATTCTATCTCATTTCGCAACAAGACAACGCATCAGTGACACTATTCTATATCTCTAAATTGACTCGCCGATACAGAGGCGAGCTGGCTCGCCTCCGTTTCCCTGACCTAATCGCAAACCCACCGAGAGGTGTTGACTTAAACAAGGTCACACCCAACACTTAATTATGAAGAAGTAAACGACCTAAAGATGGCCTATACAAATCGGTATGATGGCAGTGTCACGAAACCGATATGATCATTTTTAAACCATGCTCGTTATGAAAGTCACCGAAACAGTCGATCGAAACCACTGGGTCAAGACTTACAGATATACGGATAGAAACACATGTTAACTAGAACGTGCAGAATGAATATAAACACGTTTGCATTTCTGTTGCTATCATCAATCAGGCACGCTTGGGTAACGACGTTTGGTACGTCGTAAGGAACGGAATTGACAACTTGGAATCCAAACTCGGTCCGCGAAGCCATAGCGATTGTTGTCAGTCGGTTTTTTATTGCGATACAGAGTCCAATGACGACGGCAGCCTTTGTATAAATTAAGTGCTTTTAGATTTCAGAAATAATTTCGCATCACTTCCGTAATAAATGCTTGTACCGACGGCTCGAACATTACGGAGAATAACGCTACCTAACGAAATGAATCTATCAATTCGTATTTTATATTCCTGCTTTAGTTCGCCACTTTACTCATTCCTATGAGAACTGTGCATATAAAATATGTACATATCGACATTCTTTAAGGCTGGTATAGTAAAACTATAAAACAAGTACAAGGATGTTAGGTAATACCTATAAACGTTCGCTAAATTCTATCTATAAATAGTTACTCTGTCTCTCTCGTTGGGTGTTTAAACCTGTAAAAAGAATCTCTTATCTCGCACAATTAGTAGGTAAATCCCGTTTCAGTACGACTAAGCATCTCAATCCCATTGACTGGTCCGTCAATCGCCCGCCTCGAGCAGCCTACGGCAGGCAAAATCATCGCCTGTTACAATGATCAATGCCGAGAGTGAACAGTCACCAGCTGATGAGTAGTGTGTATTGTTATTATTGTTTTCTGTGGTAGTGGGAGCTGCTTTCGTGGTCCTTCTCACAGTGGTGGGCAAGTGTAGCAGCGTGTTGCTGGGCCCCCACGTGGGGGGTAGGCTGGTTGCAGCGCCGCTTCCTTCTGCACAAACCCTCAGTAAAATGGTGGCAAATTCCGCTAAAGCCCGAAATAGATATGCGCGAATTTTCCGTTCTCGAAAGACCGCTCTCGTCTCAGAGGTCTTTCAGTAGTTGCTTTTGATACTCAACAGTATAAAGTGACAACTCCTGCGGTAACAACACCATTTCCTTCTAATAAGGGTGTCTCAATAGATTCTTATGGTCATTGCGCTCTTGAGGCACTTACTCTGTAATAAGTTGAGGAGACCAGCAAAATTCAGGTATACCGCCACTATCAGTCAAACGACCAACACCATTGCTGCCATCTCGACGGTAACGGGCAGGGCGCCGCCTATGTTCTCAAGCACCCGGTCGCTCAAACACGCATTCAGGCGGAAGTCGGGTCGGCTTTCGACAGTAGAATAGTGATGACCTGCTACTTACAACCAGGCTGACGACAATGGTGGTAACAGTATAAAACGGCAGAAGCGAGCCAGGAAGATTTACGAAACGAGATCAAGACTACGGCACTTTAATGAGAAAGAAAATACCTTACGATCTAACTTCAGCTACTAATTAACTACTGCGCGTAAGATCATGCAGTAGTACAACTTAGCAAGTGCGACAACGATAAACAGCAAGCAACCATCATAAAATTAATAATAAGATCAGCAGCGGAAGCGTGGTCTAACCTTCCGAAGACATTGGAGCAGTTCAGCAAAAGTTTGTCAAGAACCTTCATTTTCTCAACGATTTTTTTCCTATTCCATCTTGATGTGTTCGTACCTTCAGCCTGAGAGAAAATCCCGATGCACGTTGTATATAGTAGAAAATATAGCATCGTAATAAGGTAGATATGTACTAGTAAAAGTAGAAAGGGTATATCCGGTGGACGTTTGTGCGTAAGGATCGACATGGTTACCTATGAAGTGGTTAATATGAGCAAGTAAAAAAGAAAAACAAATACAAATAGTACTGGCCGTTAAAATCATTTACTCTACTATAATGGTCATGAACCAGTATATACGAACAACTTCTACGCCGTTTATTTTATTTGATTAACATTTGGAAAACATCTGCCTTCATTCACACAATTACAATTACTGCTTCTAAATTAAAGACAACTAGTCAAATATGTCAAACCCTGTAGAAACAGGCACACCTGCCTGTGAAGAAACTAGTGCAGCGATGGTTGACCCCATGCAGGTACAGCTGCGATTTCTTACCACCGCCGATCTCGATACGGTAAAAGTCCAATGTCAAGAGTGGTTCCCCATCGAATATCCTGACTCGTGGTATCAGGATATAACGTCGAACAACGGCAAGTACTTCTCTCTAGCCGCAGTGCACCGTGGCCGAATCATTGGCGTTGTCGTTGCGCAAACAAAAGCCTTAAACAGCTGCAGACAAGAAGATCAAGAAATTTTGTCGGCCAAGTTTCCATTGCACTCGCAGGTGACTTACATACTCGTATTGGGCGTTTGTCGGGATCACCGGCGTAGCGGGATCGCCTCGCTGCTTGTCAATTCCTTGCTTGAATTCCTCCGTACGGAGCCCGCACAGGACACGTCGTCGAAGTCTCGCGCGGTTTTTCTTCACGTGCTGAGCGAGAATATGGCAGCGATTAACTTTTATACACGCCGCGGCTTTGTGCTGCACTCTTATTTGCCACAATATTATGAAGTACGCGGCATGGCCAGGGATGGCTACTGTTACGTCCGATATATTAACGACGGTTACGCGCCGTTCTCTGGATTTGACCGTCTTTACCATTGGGTCGTACGGCGGATCTCGTTTGTAGCAAGTGTCTTGTGTCATGTGCCCATTCTAATACTGAAGCGATGGCGGAAGATTGCTAGACGAATGCTCACGTGACACGAATTGAATGTATTTCGCCGACAGAGTCGTGACATCATGGAGGCCGCTAACATGAACGAATGCCCACGGTAGCTACACCCAGATACACCCACCCAACGCTAATTAAAAGACCTCACAAGCGCAAAAACTTAAGCACAGGTCAGATGTTGAGATTCCGGTTATATTGGTGGTCACGGTGTATATGCTGTACCGATAGTTGTCACATATAGATAGATTTTTACATAATCGACTGAGAGAACGGTATGAATTAGCGATGATGTCTGCTGAATGCCCTCTCTTGAAATTAATCTTTGAAAGGAAAAAAGAAGCAGCACCTTGCTAGGTGTTTGAAAAACATGTCAGTATTTTCGGTCGACGAGGAGTTTCGATTTGTTTATATTTGTGAAGCTGTGCAAGTGTATTTATATACTTTTCTTTGGTAAGCTGTTTTGTACGTGTGCATTATTTTTTTTCCTACTTATAGAATAACTTTGGAGAATCGGTTACGTTCCCATTTTACCAAATCTGCCCATACGCTATTCTGATGAAAAAATTCTAAGACACACGAGACTCGGATATGTACTCCGAGTGCCTTTTTTCCATTATTATCCATTTTTAAATTGTAAAAAGTGACTCAGCCATAACTGTAGAAACGTTAGATTATCGACGTGCCGAAAAATGTTCGTATGTCAATCACGCTTGGACTCTATCGTCCACTTTACCACGCGCAAGTTATTCAACATGTGCACTTCCAGTTTGGCATCGTTGGGAAAAGATGGCATTCGTTTGACGAATGAGAGATTACGCTGTGTCATGGAATCGATCACGCAAAGGCATTTGAATAAAAAAAAACAATGTGAGTAATAGTCATAATTTATACAATCGTTCTTTAGGGCGATAGTGTTTGAGGAGAACATCTACTAAGTAGCCAGTAACGCTGGTGCCTACAAGCCATGGCTGCGTTCATTGAGTTCAAAGTTTAAATTATAGAATACTATCAACATTGTCAGGTTATAATTTTGAGTCGATCGATGTTCAGTAAGCGATTCCCCGAAATATTTGAAAACAACAAAGGATGGCACAAAGCTTAACAGCGCGCCTTGGATTAGACATTTTCGTTGCATTCGTTTTACACTGAGATCGGTCAACAGGTTAATCTCTTCATAAACCATTTGTTCCGATAGCAGCTAGAAGACAAACATGTGCGTACTATATGCTAGAAGTGAGTGGAGCGCAAGAAAACACAAGCATCCGCTACTAGCTATGATATCAGCTAATATAACATCTTACCGCGATTCAAATGATTATATGCAAGTGAATTAGCACGTACCTATAAGCCGATGGTTCTCGATACCGTTTGCTAAGATTATCTATTAGAAGGGTAACTTTGTATTACCAGTAACAGGATGCCTTAGAGGTACTAGTAGTCAAAGCTATGGTGCAAGCATAACATATTACTAATTGGAGAGCAAGAACGCAACTATATTCTACCTTAGAAATTAAAGTAAGAGTGTATGTAAAACATCTACGTTCCGTACAGGAAGACGACTTGCACGCGCTTACTAGACCAGTGTCCGTTAGAGACGCATGCTAGTGAGCGATAGTCGCTACATAGAAATATGTACGTATGTGGATGTAGGTGCGGGCTAAATGGCATAGAAGGACTTTTTCCTAGGAACTCATTCCGGATCGTGTCGTGCTGTAACCAAGGTCTTACGGTAACATAATATGACGATGATATGTTTGGACTATTATATAATTGGAGTGGGCCAAAAAAATATTTGGCAGTCTTTTCAGTTAAAATATGATGTTGTGTCGCTACTATTTTTTTCAGTCAGAAACTCACAAAACTGATTTTGATTCGGTCTCAGAATGAATAGCTGGTCTACACATTATTACTATTCCACTTTTTTGTCTAATACAATACATCTATATAAGATAGACTTGGCCACAAAAGAAACAGAAAACGATCAGAACCCTAATGGCATCTCATAATGGTGGTCATAAATAAACCACAATATCGCAGTAGACTATTGATGCTGGCAGCAAGGAGTGTTAAAAGGCACATACAAAATGATTCACAGAATCCCATTCCGCAAATCACAAAATAGCTACTGCAAATAATATGCATCTATTTATATCATCAGAGCAGACCGTTACAGTGTACCGCTATGCGTTAATCGTATCGTAAAGTCTGCATAATCATTTGTGTGTGATTTACATACCATGGAATATATATCATATGTACATGGTTCTGTACAGACTGGCAATGCATGAGCAGTGTAAATCGAGCGCAGGTATAATGACCGGAGTGGATATGTATGCACACCAAGATCTGAAGAGTCTATGTTAATGAATGTGATAGAAAACTCATTTGTTAAATAAATGCGTTAATAGACGGGTCAATGCTAGAACGAAAGTCGATTGTGCGAGATGGTAAGCGCAACTAGGAATAGGGCGAAAGTGAAGGTTTATCAGAAACAGTTAAGAATCAATGGACATTTTTTTTTTTGCAAATTATGTGTATATTAATGTGTCTAGAATGTATGAATAATACGTTTGGCTTTTATCAGTTAGAAACGGGTCCGTGGCGGAATTGTAGCGCTTAACTTAATTTTGCCTGTCTATCTGTTATTTATAGGTTTAGCTTCAGGGCATACGATCCCGTGATTTCTACTTTGCCACCGCTTCAAAGTGAGTGACTTTCAGCCGCGTTTTGTTTTTCTGCAACGGAAAAATCGAGTACCGAAAAGCGTGCATAACGTACTGGATTAAGGCATCAACTACTTATCAAGCTACTAAAAAAAAAACCCTAAGGATAAGGCGTATTCCGAACGACCCCACAGCTAGCACGGGAGGAAGCATAGTTGCTCCTTGTGCAAAAATTGTCGAGTTGCTTCCAGGGAGCTACGATCTGAGTTCAGAGAGAACAGCCGAAATATGAACTATTTAGGCATATGCGGTTGGTTTAAAGCAAGATTCCCGATACTTCTTTGACACACACACATACATATATATACACATATAGGTTTCATGGAATGCTGTAGAGCCGGTGTGACCAATCTTCGCAAGAGCAACAACGTATACATTAATATATTGATTGTTCGTATGATTATAAATATTTCAGAAATCAATAGTCTATCGGTATGGATGACCAAGTGGAGAGCACGCCTGCTGTCAGGAAGCAAATGTTAAGCAGATCGGTGCAACGACTGACTATTTGCGTATTAGTTTTTTTTGATTGGATTACAGTGAACTATTATTGGCAGTTCATATTCATCATTTACTTTAAAATGGTTTGAGACTTTTGCGAAAATGTGGTAGGGTGAAACATTATTAGGAGCGTAGGATGGAACGAATTGAAAATATCGTCCTATGTGTGATAGACGTGGCATGAGAATGTACACTGAATGAGTAAATAGTAAAGAAGACGAGACAGATCCGAAGCATACAGGTAACGCTACAGGTGTCTTAGTATAGTTCATCATAATGGCGAGTGACGATGATGATTTGTGACTTATGTGTTTCGTTCCACTTGCGGAGGAATGGAAAAGTAAAGGGTAAATTTAGGCCTAGAGCTTAATTAGATCTATAGGAAGGCAAGCGACAAGGCAAAAATCTATGGGAGAAGCGATTTTATGTTGCAAGAAACAAAACTAGAATTACAATGTAGTACATTATAGTAGTACAGTATAATTCAGTGGGAAACAAGGTTCAAAGAAAAATTACACAGCTATTCTAGATATTTTTAATATGCCATCTTACCGACCCAGCGACCTTCCAACAAAAATAATTTACTAAACACTATGCAGCAGCATCGAGTGTTTGATGTTATGATCTTGTATATGCATGTAAATAAATTCCACAGTAATGACAAATAATAAAATGGTTGAATTTGCTTCCTCTTTGGTTTTATCGGCTTGTTTAATATGTAAAAATAAAGAAAATGTATCATTAATAATAATAATACCAATGGTAAAAACGATGACTCGGCAGAAAATGGGAGACCAGAGGTTTATGTCTACGGGGTGCTGTACAAACGAATAAAGGGGTAATGTATTTAACAAAAGATATGTCATTTCTGTAGATCGGTCGTTTAGTTCTAATCAAACGTTTTCTATTATTCAGACTATTTAGATTTCGATAGTACATGTACACTGCAGATCTTATTTTCTTCAAGTATCTTGGCTGTTAGCACTTGACAAACTTGATTCTTCTTTCACTGAGCCAAAACGATTAGTGTCATTTATGCATTTTATTCAACACGGCTGATGAACTTAGCAATTGGGCCATACTTAAAGGGGCCATTTTGTTGCAGCAGATCGTGTAGACGTACAGGACGCTCAGACAAAACATCTACTGTCGACACGATCACGAAAAAGCCTTATACGACAAAAGTATAGATCACTCATTTGAAGGTTAAACATATCTAGAAAAGAAGGCCTAGCATTCCACCTATAATTAGTAATTAGAAAATAGCCAAGAAGATTATTTAACGAAACACGTTCTTACCTCGTATAATAAATATATGTAACAGTTTGCTGACCGTAGGCATACGATTGATCATAAGTAGGTTGCATTGATGATTAAATGTAAAATATGACAGCGGTAGGCAATTGTATAATTATTGAAAATATATTCTGTTGTATAGTATATAATATTGCACTATAACAGTACTATAATCGAAACAAGCTTGCTGTGAAATTGTAGCCCTTGACACGTGTGACAAGTAAACCTGTCAGCATTATCAGCTAATTCGTTGTGTCCGTAGATCGTTTTTAGGAATCGTATTATGAATCGAGATGTGCAAACTCAAGGCGAAATAGGAAATAGACATCTACATCTATGTCCTAATCAGTTGTTAAATTAAGATGTATACCTCGTTTTATATGCTCTGTAGCTCGGCTCGTATACAAACTGAAACTATATGCATCTGTATTACTAGTTTATTTGATATGATTCCGACCAATAAAAAAAATGCTTTTCTATTCACGAGTCGAAGGGATGTTCAAGGGAAATCGAACTACGGTCTCAGCAGAATACGAACCTACTATATCGTGGGTTTCGTGCTCCTCATTTTCTCGACTCCTTAGGACTATCAAATAGACTATGACGTTCAGCCGCTATCCGTAATCGTCTGAAATGTTCAACGTGAAACGTGCAAAAGAATCTGCAAGTCACCCAATTTCAGGCTGAGCGCGGAAGCTCACTACAAAACAATTGCATTATGTTCATCAATAGCATTAGAGAAAACAAAGGTAATTTTTTACTTTTTTTTTTTCAAAAATAGTTTTTTACTCTCCTTCCCATAAATCAAGTTAAAAATAGACCGCACGTTTGGCCGGCACTTTTAGGGGGGATCATATTGCAGCACTTCCTGTTAATGCACCCTATAATGATCCCGCGTGAAACGCCTATTAAGCTCTTGATATCAAAGAGCGATGCCCATGCTGTTCTAACAGATGTCGTCCTTGTGAGTGCCTCACGTCATTCTAGGTATGGCCGCTCTTATCCGAGTGTTTGTGACGCAACGTAAAATGTTTGCACTGTGTGTCGTGGCTTTTTTGCTGGCAGCTTCCGACCAGTGACGATGATCCGGTGGTAGACACGTTATTAGTAACGGCGAACGGAACCGTGTTCGTTCAAGAAGCACACAAATGCTCCCTGGCAGAAGAAATTGTCATCGGAAACTGACTAGCTGATCATTACAATGTATCTTTTGATCGTGTAATGAATGCTTCTGTGGAGTGTAAGAATGGCAACGTAACATGATGTAGCAGTGTCCGGCTGCTGTTCGGAGCAGAGTGCCATTATTTGGGCCTTGATCGGGCGCCGAGCACCTTCAGATAATTTGCGAACTCACAGTAGCTGGAACAATGCCAAATGGAAATGGTCTTAGTGTGGCGTGTGTATTAATTCGTTTTGTCGGTATTACTATAAGCCTGGAGTTTTGGGTTTTAAGCTTTGTAAAAAAGTGATTTCTATAAGAAACCACGTTGTGATTACGTACCTAAAAAAAAAAGAGTGATGTTCTAACGTAAATGTTTGCCATCGAATGAGAGAAATTAAATAAGCATATGATGCGGATGGAAAACACGCTGCAGCGACTGGGTGATAAGGCGAGATGTTAGTTATTAGAAGGTTACTTCAGAAATTTGGGCCTACTTAACTTAAATGCTCAGCTTTCCAAACTGTTCATTTCGTCGATGTATAGGTATATCCGTAATATACATATATTTGAATAGTTTAATGGGCAAGGGTGACACGTTCGGCAAAGCAAAGAGGCCCTATATTTTCGAAGTTATCGCTAAAACATTTTCCGAATCTCTTCATTTGCTTAAATCAAAGATTTTTCGTGCAAAACGACCATAATTCACTTCAATACTATAGAAATTAGAAAGGAAATATTTGTTTTTGTAATAACAGAAAATAGTGGACCCACTACTAAGTTTAGCAGAAGCCATCTAGCTAACTATATGAGTTATTTCTCTCATAAACGTAAAGTAGATTTTTTTAGCCGAAATAGACTCATATCTTTTAGTACGGAAATACATTATATGATCTCCAGCCCTCCGAAGGCGTTCAGAATTGCAGCGCAAAAATGAGATTTAATTCGAGTCCGTAATGAACGTTTGTGGCTTCCAAGGTGCGATGCGAAAAAGTCGGCTTTCTTGAGCTAAAGTACGTCGTGATCCACTATGTTATTATAGATTCTAGTATGTTGTTTTAATAAATTTGTTAAGTACTTCTCGCATAAATGCCTGAAAGCTAAGAATTATATAATTATAAGAATAAAATATATGGAAATGATTTTCAGAAAATTAATATGAAGTGAAAGTAAATTGGTGAAAGATATTTATAGTAAACGCCACTATAATAAAACGGCAATAACAATATGATAGATTAAAAAAAATACGGTCAATGTCCATGGGTTGAGAAACTATCTGCGTACGTACCTCAGATAGAGGGTGTTTCTGTTAGACTGGTTCCTCTGTGAAATCAGTATGGGAAGGTTTTCGAAAATAGGAACAAATTATTAATCAAGGGTACAATAAGGCAAATATCTGGAATGCTAGAAGGAATGTTTTATAAAACGAGTAAAGAATATCATTTAATATAACAACGACCCTTCTAGTTTGTGAAAACGAGTGACAGAAATTAGATAATAACAAAGAGCTCAGAAGGGGGCACGAGACTACCAGAGCAAAAGCATGATACACGTTCGATTACGTTGTCATTTACGGTTTGTCAGTGACGAAAGCGTGAGAATACGTTTCACGTAGTACTTAACTTTAACCAAAAACAATCGTGTCACGGGGCTTATAACCTGCAATTGATCAATCTTCTCTTGACAAATAAATTACTTTCAAAGACAGTCAGGCTACAGTTTACCAGAACCCAGCTGTAAAACTCACCGATGTTTATAGCAATGCGTGTCTTTTTGATTGTTAAAAATCTCTAGAAATGTTGCGGAAGTGTTTACCATAACGTGCTATTAGATAATATCGAAGATTTGCCGAAACGAGCCAAATCGATTGTGATAGCTCGTAAACTATTTGCTTCTTATTGGACTTTTTTGACAGTGTAAAATAGTATTATAAGCAGCGAAAGAGTACGGTAGATAAAAAGGAAGCAATAAATAAAATAGAGAAATATATCTCGGGAAATAGCGTAATCGTCAGCTGTTCATTGTATATGAGTGATACCCATTTACAATTATTCTTCTCATTTAAGCATCATGTATAAGTATTCAGCCAGTGACTTCTGCGAAAACCAGCACAACTATAGCATGAAAACCAGTTGAAAGTATTTGGTTTAATTTGGAAAAGATAGTCGCTTTTCAACAATGTTCCTCTCTATCCACAGTTGTAGCGCATTTATCAATCTATGAAAGTTCTGCAAGTTAAGTTTTTTTATTTAGTTGTTGTTCTTGCAAGTTATTTAGTAGTTCGCTAAAGACCGCCCCCCAACCATAAACACTAGACTGAAGGTAGGTTATAAGAAAAATCGGTAAAAATGAACCTTTCTGAAAATTAAACAAAAACAAATTAGCTATTTCAATCAAAATTTATTTAGTCATCTGGGCTTCTACTTATGATCTGTTTCGTTAACAGGTTATCGATCGAGATCGAGAACATGATTAATTAAACCTCTAAAGTCATGAAAATAGCATTATAAAAAATAAAAGTTACATCTAAGATCGATTAAACGATATGTAAACGCAGGGTGGTAAATGTTTACCTAAGAGCATGCATTGTTTATTGAATCGTTGGCTTCAAAACTTCCACAAGAGAGCTCTATTAAAATGCTATGTAAGCGTCATAAGTTGGTATTATGTAATAGAGAAACTTATACACAGTTCAGGATTAAACACCTGGAAATTAACGCACTTTGTGAGAGTCGAAAACAAGAGCCTAACAAAGCGAAATGATCCGATTCGTCTTCAATCTCTCAAAGAATGTGTATCAGACAGTTGGTCAGTAGTAAGTTGACAGAATGTTGATAAGTAAGCCAATTTCACTTGTGTATATGCATATTTCACCGTAACAAGGAGTTCTGCGCTCAAATAAACACTTACTAACCGTATGTAGAACAGCTTAATGGGGTTACGGTACATAAACGACGTAGCTTCCGAAAGAAAAGGTTTCAAGCTTAGTTTTACAGCAGGAGCAGTTGAACATATTTAAGCATCATTAAAACCAGTTGATAAATTATCTCCTCCACAACGAAATCGAAATTTGTTAGCTGGATTACCGAATTCGAGCTGTTTGGAGAGCCACTGGACTCAAAGGAGTAAGCGGGCATATCAAAAAGTCATACTTTCGCATACCTAGCTTTAAGTACTGTATTTAATTTTTAGTCATACATACATACATTTATTATCATATGC